AGAAATTGTTTTCGTTGTTTCATGTTTCAATTATAAGTGGCTTTTATCTTTTAAGCCGAGGTAGAACTAGATCTTTCGTCAATGCACCTGATATTAAGGGTAAATTTGTAGTATATCTTCCATTACTGAGAAACTTTATGTGGATATTTTATTTTTAATTTGATTATTTATTTTATTGTTCAGAAAATGTGCACTTTTGAAATTATGTAACATTTCATTACAAGTTTCATTAAAAGTTAATTACAGTGCAAAAGATGTAATGGTATGAGTTGATCGGATTTATTTCGTTCCAATTAAAAGCGTAGCCTGTGCACAGCATTATGAATTTAATTAAAAGAGTTATTACTGCGATGTAATTGCATTTTTGACTCGTACAGATAGACAGGTGAATACGTATGCAAGTATACCTGGCAAATACGGAATAATGGCAAGTGTCAGGTTGATGCTGTTGCACAACAATTCAATGGTTTATTGTCTGACTCGCTATGCACGCAATAGCACTATGCGATTATTCACATGCAAATTATGCCTGACATCCCATCGTAATATCGTATGCAGTTGCCATGGAGTTTCCTTCTTGTTTGTTCCGTCAAATTAAGGAATATTAGCGACGCTTCGGTACATACACAGCGTGTGTTATTTTACCTTATTCTTCAGTTACTTCTGTACAGAACATCCCAAATCTTTGAATATTTAAGAATGTTTTAAGAAATAAAAAGAAATGAATATGTTTACCATATTGATGTATATATATTAATCCGAGACAGGAAAAGTTTTTAAATTCTCCAAATAAATCAGATTAAGTAGTAGTTGTAGCTCTTGCGACATTAAATGTTCATTTGTATTACGTTTTTCTCAAGCCAGTGAAACAACAGAATTTTGCAGATGTTACTTTTCTTCTTTTTTAAATATTTCAACACGGATAAATTCGTTCCAAATGCTCTGCCAAACTGTATACGATGCTAATACTTTAACAAGGCTTTTCTGCCTTTTTGCAGTCCTCAAGTAAATGCTACAGTGTTTGGACCATAGGGCGCTAAAAAGGTGATTGTTGAGATGCTTTGTCTTCCTCTTTCGTGGTCTTTGCATGTAATTGTACTTATACGCACTTGAAGACGTATCCAAAAAAAGCAATACTGGATATTTTGAAATTAGGCCATTCATAGTTCGAATCTAATTCATTCCAAAATAACTTCCAAAATTCAGAATTATTTTAAGAGGGTTAACGGAATAAAATCAAGAGAATTTAATCAACATCTGTCTAGTCTATTTATACATATAGAAGTTAGATACTATTTATTACTGTTCTCATTTACTATTACTAGAGAACTAAGTAGTTTTACTGAAATAATTTTTAATAGCTTCCTGGTTTTATTACAATTTATTTGAATGTGCGGTAAGTTAGGCTAGGTTAGGTTAGTTTAGGTTCTCATTTCTAACCTTCTCTATCCACGGTATCCTCATCATTCACCTGTAACACCGCATTTCAAACGCTTCTAACCTTTTCATTCAACATCTTTTTTTTCCAAATTTCTAAAGGTCTTATAATATTGAAAAACAATGATCTTAGCATAAACACTGCTCAAAAGAAACGAATATATGTCAAAAAATGTAAACTGATTGTAGGAGCGGCAGTTTTCTACCAAATTACAAAAATACTTTGTCATTTAAACATATTACAAGTGATACAAGCGATTACAAATGAATCGTCTGAGGAACAACCTGGTAGTTTATTTATTTATTTATTATTTTAATTCTTCAAATGCTTTGTTATAAATGTATTGTTAGTTAGAATTTATTGTATTATGAATGAATATGTATCGTTAAAAAGCTATTTCATCTATTTTTCCAACTTTATTATAAAAACCTATCCTTGAGAAAGCCCGACTTTTTAACCTCTCTGTTGACTTTGATTTCACACGATTATAAATGGGGTAAAGAATGGAAAACAGAATTTTGTTGTTAACGCGCTATTTATTACAATTTACTTCCTCCGTGCAGCAAGAAAACTCGTTAAAAAATGCCTGGTATTACATTTAACTTAAAAATGATGGTCTTAACGTAGCTTGTAGATAGTTCGTATTCAGTAAAGGAATTTTAATATAAGCGTATTTATAAGTCCACAGGTGGAATTGTCATAAAATATCTCTCTTGAGAATTGTAATCTAACTTCTAGTCAACTTTAAATATATCTCTATAAATACTAATGAAATTCCATTCTAAGGACTGATTCCTGTCCGTAGCAAGTGCACTGTCGCATGAATGAAATGAATTCTTTACCCGTTACTTCTGTAGCAGCATTCCTTCAACTTGAGAAGATCGACGAGGCCGCTTTTTTTATTCAATAGAGGAAACATAAACTGCCTCAACCTTGATTGGTTCACTACATACCATCGCAGATACAACGCTCATGTTGCAGACAATGGCTACCTTTAACGGATCACCTATGCGTGATGCGAATTTAACATCGCAAACTTGAAAGTTTCATTAAAAATAAACGGAATTCAATAGGTGGCGTTGAAAATAATAAAAACCAGCACACATTGCGAATATGAAAATGGTTCCTTTTACGGAAAATCATAACATGACACAAAAGTCTACTGATATCTTTCTGTTGATAATATTGACATCTGGAAATATAATCTGTAATCCATATACAGTGTCCAGTTTACATGTGTTTATCTTGTCTTCACTAATGCAGGTAAAAATGTCAGAATTGTCCCAGACAGGACCAGTTCTGACTTATAATTGGTAGACAAAACGTATTTTAAGAGGCTTCTTCCAGTCCCTTTATTCCGCTTATCATTAGCTTTTTGCGATAAGCAGAATACCATTCCCCTATTTGGTAAGGTAAAATTCACTTTACTTAGAATTATTTTCGATTACGGCTATTAAAATCATTGCAGAACCTTTAAAACTGATACTATATTATTTCACTTATTTACAAGTACTGTACTTTATACAGTAGTACGCGTTGAAGTTTAGTCTGAAATTCATCTCTTCCAATTAGGATTAAAAAAAAAATGAATGAATCATCTTGAGGGTACTTTTCATCATCTTTTTGGATCTTATCAAATATAAGTAGCTACAAGTTCATAAAATTTATCTTAGTTTCTTGAAGGGTATGCTGTATAAATATATACACATGTTTCGCAAACCGCAATCGTATTTTCTTAAAAAAGGAAACTATAGGTTACACTTACTAACTTATCTCTTCAAACAGAAATAATCGGACATAATAACAATATGCAATAGATTGTGATTATGAAAATAACATAGAGTATTTAGAGGAATTTTTGTAATGATATTTTTATGATGCTTCTTGGTGAAAGGTCAGCTGTTGGATTCTGGAGGATTCTATAGTACTCTAATGTTCCTATGGGCTTAGTACTTTTGTAAAACACATCGAAAAATAATAAATATGTGAATTAATTACTTATTAATTAAGCACCATTCTCTGGCACCCTCGTAAGTTACAAATCAGTAACACATGTAATGTTGAGAATAAACTACTCGAAAGTGCAGATTTTTTTAATTTCTTTAAACAGTAACCTTAGAATATTTCAAATAGAAACCAACTTTAACGAAATACTTTTTAAAAATAATACAGTTTTGCTTAATTTGAAAAGAAATTCCGTTCATCTGCACAGAGCTTTCTTATTCACCATTGTATGAAGTTCGTACCATTGTTTTGTTAGTAAAGTTGGTGGGCGAACTTGAAAGTTAGTTTATATAGTTAGATGTATATTTGTAGCTTATAGAGCTAGACTCGACGTCTCTATTGTTAATATAAATTGAAGCTTGGCAGTATTTTCCGTCCAGTATAAATAAAATTAAGGTCAACAGTTTTGAGCATGTGCCAAACTTTTGTTCATTCATAAAACCCATGAGAGCGTATTAAGCTCCGATAATTGATAATTCTATGATTGATAATTTTTATTGTGTGTTTTCTATGCTCTTGGCAGGCTTTTGTGCTGATTTGCGAAATTTATTAACAGAACAGAAACTCATATCCAAGCTTTAATTCCATAAAGTTAAACTACTTTGATTGTTTTTAAACACATTACTAAAATAAATTGCTAGTTATTTGCTATCTACAATTGTGGCTTCTCTTTTGTCTCAATAGTATACGTACGACAGTTTTCTTATTTTGTTGATTGGTAGGACTAAAGAAAAAACGAAACCATTATATTTTGTTACGATAAGTGTAGAAAGAAACTAACATTGAAACTAAAGAAACTAGCAAGAATTACTTAAATTCAGGTGACTACTTTTGTGCTCGTAATCGATTGTAATTTAGAAGTCCGACTGTGTACGGGTGCTAAATGTGGGGAATGATGAAAATGCCATGGATGGAAAAAAATAGAAATAAAAAGGTATAATAGCAAAATTAAGAAAACAAAGAACACTCACTAGCTTCGATTTGTTATTGTGTTTTCAAATTAGGTTTGCCTTATCTCGGCCAATTACTTTCGAAGATATACTAAAATTGATATGTTGAAAGAATCAATGAATTATACGTACTTCTTTCATTCATGGCATATTTTTATTTTTTTTGAAAATGGGTGTAATTTCTGCGCTAATGTAAAAAAGAAAGGATAAAATAATTTGTTACCTTATTTAAATCCCAACAATATTGCCACGTCTAGGTAATCCAACATTAGTGAAAAAACAAAAAAAAATGATTTATAGTGGATTGTCAAACTTTCGTAACAAAGAATGCAGTATCTAGAACATAATTGGAGGATTTTTAAAACAAGTGTAGCTCCTATATATAGCCGCCCAAAGTCGGAAGAAAATAGTTCTAATTCTTCTTACGGGGTCATAAAAAGTGCCAAATAAAAGCATGCAAGTATTAATAATAGTGGTATAATTAAAAAATAATTTGTTAAATAAGTCAGTAGCAGTGTTAAAGATATTTTGAATGAGGGATATTTAGTGTCAGGAGACAAATTGAAGAAGGAATTTTTGGAGAATTTCATTTCAGAACTTTCTGAAGNCGAATAGCTAGTTAGTGAGAGGTTTTTTTGCGATGTTGGTGTTGCTTCAATGCAAAAGTGGAAAGGGTTCCAAGTGAGTAAACCAAAATTACCACGTTCAAAGTGTATTGCATGCCATGTCCAAGCTGTTTGTGATGTAAAATTGTTCCGAGAAACCAAAACTGAAGTATGTCAAAAGCATTCCGATTAAAATTAATCAGCAGCATTATCCTGCATATCCCGTGGCATTTAGAGGGAACAAGGAGATCTCAATATGTTGGACATCTTTAGGGGCCTGAAGAATTTGATCAGGGTCAGCCATGTCCACATAGACAGCGTCGTATTCCGACTCCACTATTCGATCACTGTGATCATTCTGATCGCATTCAGTCTTATATTGACGACGAGACAGTACGTGGGCAATCCCATCGACTGCGTCCATACCAAGGACATACCGGAAGACGTCCTCAACACCTTCTGCTGGATCCACTCGACGTATACCGTGAGGGCGGCGTTTTACAAGAAAATTGGATTGGAAGTACCTTACCCCGGCGTGGAAACGGCAAAGGACGAAAAGGACAAGAAACTCTACAAATACTACCAGTGGGTCTGCTTCTGCCTTTTCTTTCAAGTAAGTAGGTCGACTGAACAATATATGTGTGTATGTATTTTTAAATTTCCTTTGAGTATCTGCCAGCTATTTTTTAATTGTGGCTCTTCTTAAGCTTTGTCAGTTATCGAATTACCTTGATACTGGGAAACTATATAAGAGACACTCTTTTTTAGTATAGTTTTGTTCCTGCAAATTGTGCTACAAAAGAATTTTGTAAGATGAATTTAACAGCGACTTTGGATCAGTTAAAATTACAATTTCATTTGTTGCTTTTACCTAGCAGTGCGAGAGTGGTTAATATTTCTGCTGCCTTTGAACCTCTATTCATCGATATACGGCACGTATTGTCTTTCATATTATAAAGAGCAAATAAGCTGGAACGTATGTCGCAAGCATGTTAAGTTCGTCATGACTTGTGATCACTCAGCTTGAGAACATGATAGTAAAAATTACTAACCTAAAATTCACAGGCGTAGCCTATATTGTATTTTATAAGGAAATGAGAACCTCAGTCAGTACCGATAATACTCAGGAACTGAAAATAGGTTTCTGTTTAGTATTACTGAATTCATATGTAGAGATTTGCATGATGACATTATTGGACATTGTAGAAGTGTAAGCGAATCTTTTATCGCCCAATTAATAACATTAGATAATTGTTAACTTGTGGTAAGTTTTTATGAATACAATGGGCAATGCTCGCCCACTTTCTAAAACAATCCATTTATATAGACCGTTTTTTTTTGTGTTTTTTAATCTGTAATTGGGTCACTACTTTTGGCCACTATGCCTATCAACTGTTTATGTGAAGTAAGTTCTCAAAACAGTAAGTACTGTGACATTACTGCTCTATTTTACTAACTTCTTTAAGGTACGAGGGTGGATTGATAAGTTTCCGGCCTAACCAAGAGATGACGCCACTAGGCCTACCTTGAGGTGACATTCTATAGTACCATCCTTGGATAGCTTGTAGCTATNAAAAAATAGAAATAAAAAGGTATAATAGCAAAATTAAGAAAACAAAGAACACTCACTAGCTTCGATTTGTTATTGTGTTTTCAAATTAGGTTTGCCTTATCTCGGCCAATTACTTTCGAAGATATACTAAAATTGATATGTTGAAAGAATCAATGAATTATACGTACTTCTTTCATTCATGGCATATTTTTATTTTTTTTGAAAATGGGTGTAATTTCTGCGCTAATGTAAAAAAGAAAGGATAAAATAATTTGTTACCTTATTTAAATCCCAACAATATTGCCACGTCTAGGTAATCCAACATTAGTGAAAAAACAAAAAAAAATGATTTATAGTGGATTGTCAAACTTTCGTAACAAAGAATGCAGTATCTAGAACATAATTGGAGGATTTTTAAAACAAGTGTAGCTCCTATATATAGCCGCCCAAAGTCGGAAGAAAATAGTTCTAATTCTTCTTACGGGGTCATAAAAAGTGCCAAATAAAAGCATGCAAGTATTAATAATAGTGGTATAATTAAAAAATAATTTGTTAAATAAGTCAGTAGCAGTGTTAAAGATATTTTGAATGAGGGATATTTAGTGTCAGGAGACAAATTGAAGAAGGAATTTTTGGAGAATTTCATTTCAGAACTTTCTGAAGGTCTGTCTCTACCGACAAAAACATCATCAAAGTATACACCACTGGATACCTTGCGAAAAAAAGAAGAACTATTTATTCACCATTATATTATTCGTTTAGAAATTATGTAACGCAATAAACATCTACAACAGGTACATCGGGTGCAACGAAAAGCCGTAACCAACGAAGTAACGGCGCTCCTCAACAATTTGAGTCCGATGTGGAACGCCAATAAACTTATCTTACTCCTCTGCCCCTCAAGAGTTCACAGATCAACTGACAACTAGAGAATTCAATATATTGGATTTATGCAAGAGTTACTCATCTAAATAAAGAGTGTCCCTCTTAACAAACACGATCTTTCGGCAGAGGAAAACAGTCGTCGATAAACTAAAATAAGAGAATTTTATGGAGCATGAATTAGCTTACTCTGACGTTGTCATCATCTCAAGACTACATGGCACCCATTTATTAGTCATCCAACATTAATGGTCGATTTGGCGTAATATCGGAATGTCGAATTCGTTCTTTGGCAAAGAGGCTGATCTTCACTTACAGTATGCATTTCACCAATCTATCGAAAACACAACGTACAAAATAGAATTTGAAAAGCGATCTTATATAGTAGTGTATTGGTGGCTAGCAAAGTTGATGATGGCATTATTGGATTGAACCTGCGCCTAGAATACCTTAAATATCAACACTACAATGCGCATCGATGAACACGAAATAGTAATCTCAAATACAATGACTATGCATGCCATCTACAACATAACCGAAGAGGAACATTGGGTACTACGGAGGCACTCCGAGGGCATTGCCATAGTCAGAATAGCGTCGAATTCAGCGGATTAATGGGAATAGTTAAATCGGACTATCCAAACTTGAGACATAAAGTAATATTGGTGAGACATATGCGCGCAAGAAGTGGAGCAACATCGATACCTGTCAGAATAGCCAATTTGAAAGACTTCGAGCAAAATATTTGCAAGAGGCACAGAGTTGGGAGTGTGTGAGCCAGTAACTGAAATTCACCTCTGTGACTGGGAGAAAGAATATTAGACAAAAGTTACAACACTTCCTGTAGCTTTAACAGTTCTGGGCTGTTTTCAGTATGTCTTCGCACTCTCAGATCATGATTTCGGTAGAACCAAATTAACATACCATTGCATTAACACCGGTATAGCAAGGGCTATTAAACGAACATTATTTCCTGGAACGACGCAGGAGGGAGTGAATAGCCTTATCAAACATATGCATAAACAAGTGTGGGCTTCCAATATAGTGGTAGTAGATTTTTAAGTAAATTTGCTACCTTTTTACGACGATACTACAGATAAGTTGTAGTGTTGTATGTATGCAGGACTATTCAGACGAACTTAAGTGGTCCTACATGAGTCAACCGCAATTTTCTTTGACTACACTATTCGTATTTTGCGAAGGTTTGTGATCAGCATTGACGTGCTATCAGGCGAATAACTAAATTTTTGCAATATTCTCAGCCAAAGATCGTAGCAGCAGTATCGGAGTTGGATATTAGGTACCTTTCATAGCCGTCACCGTTTTAGGTTACAAGTGTTTGGTTTAAGTACAAAATATGTTTGTTCAGACAAAATAGACCAGACACTAAGTCTGGAAAAAAAAGAAGTTAAGAAGCCAAAGAAATAAGGTGAGCCTGAGAAAAACTTTGGTGCTTTATTCCTACCATCCACTAATGCTAGTGGGCGGGCAGCCCCTCCTGACTACGCTGGAGAGCAGTGCGAAAGGTCCTCTTCAACCTCCTTTTAGCAATCGAAATGATGAAAAGTGAAAGATCATCTGTGAAACAAATTATTATTACTACTGTCTAAGTGATCCAAGCAGGCAACGGAAAAACTTAGGCTAAGGAAGACAGACCTGGAATCTAACCTGCTCGGTACTGAACTTGTATTTGCTGTGAGTACTTATTCGTGGTTGACTAAAGGATGATGGCTATTCTGTAGCGTGTGATGGTTGAACTCCTTATATAATACTTGTGTTGGAGTTGATGAGCACGACAATTATGTGCATACTTGTGAACGCTGCCAAACTGATTAAAATATATGCTCTTTTTACCCCGTGTCATTTCCCATTAAGCCCCGACTACGTAGCAAAACGGGAAATTTGAGTTTCTGACTGTTGTTCCTCATTATCAGAAAATTAAGTGATTTAGCTTGTCAAAAATTTAGAATATCTAAAGTTGATGTATAATGTTGCTATTTGAGTAAAGTTATTCTATTAAACAGTTTAATTTTTTATATGATTGTTTTCTTAAGTATCCTATTTTGTCGCGGTCTTCATGTTTCAAAATTTTAAAAGTCATGAAACTTGAGGTGTAGGTCTACAACCTCCAATAAAGCAACTGCGTGTTCGGAGATTACATATAAAATTAAGTTTTATTAAAAAAAATACATTAAGGTGGGCTACATTGCTACAACAGATCCACATTATTGTTATGTTTCAAAAATTTAATATGTTTACGTTTATGTTTGTAGCTTCAAATATACCACTTAACTGAATTACTGGCAGTGTCGGTAGTTCATTTAAATTATTATAATTAGTACACTGAATGAAGGTAAAAATGAATTATTACCTCCGATTTCGGTATTAATTATTAAAGAGCTAATAAATTGCCTGGAGAGGTCAACCGTCGTTTTGACGAAAGCTAGCAATAGCAATAACATCAAATATATTTTTTTACCCAGAGCATCATGTACAATTTATATAATTTATAATTGGGTAAGAAGTATTATTCATACTCTGAATTACTGATTTCTTGTTTACACTGCCTCTATTGTATTTATCTTAAAGCGATATTGACTACTTTGACTTCTAACATATAAGAAATAAAACTTTAGGGGTTGTTCAACATTCTATTACTCAATCAAATGGTGCGGGGGTTTATTTAATTGCTTCTTCGAAGTAGCTCTTAAATCAAAAAGTTAGAGTAATATATGTATACCAATCCTACATCGTTGAATCCCAAACTGTCTTCCGCAAATTTCAATAAAGTTAAATTGAAGAATGTGTGTGTCAGTTACAGTTACTAATAAAGTATAGAGTCGTAAACGAAATATTTTATTTAAAAAAATGTTTAACATTTCTAATTTTATAAAGTATGCGCTGTTTATTGTTTTAGTTTTACCATTATTCATGTTTGATTTCCACTGTTTATACAAAATATTGTATGTAACATTTTTAAGTACGATGTCATGAAAAGCATTTATAAAAATAGGAAACATTTTTGCTTACTGCATAGCCTCCAAAATAAATTGAATCTCTCTGACCTGTTAGTACATTCTAATTTCGTTATAATAAATGACTTTTAGTCAACAAAGGCTTAATATTGAAAATACTACTGCATCTAATTATAAGTACTTTGGATGTAAACGAAATATTTAAATGATTTAGACTACTCCTTGTGCTATAACATTTCAGAACTATGCGAAACGATTTCTCATAGAAACACAGCTGTTCCTTTTAATGTGTACAAACAAAACATCTTAACCTCAATATTCAATTCTTTTAATAGCTTTTTAAAGTTCTATGTTTAGCAGAGTATAGCTGTATTATACGTGGCTTATTCTTTAAATCGTTTACGCCGATAAAATTCAAGTATTAGTATAATCATAGGAAAACATTGCGAAGTGTCAGAACTTATTTATATTCACCATAAGGTACTACTAAATTGAGAAACATGCTGTTCGACTTAAATTTCAGGGTTTAACACATCATTAAGTTTTAATTAAACGAGTCAACTTAACATATATCTTAGCGCTTAGCGACATTAATAGGGAAGTCTAAAACCTTGCTGATTTTGTTTTCGTGTATACATACATGAAACCTTTTTTGCATTTCTTGTTTGACACGTGCTACTTTGTTTACACGTTTAATAAACTGGGTTAAACTGTCAGTTTCGATAACACACATGATTAAATTTGATAGTTTCGTTCATAAAACAAAGTCTATATTCGATAATAATAAGAACGTTTTTGGGTATGTAAATATTTAAATAGCAACATGACATTTTTCGGTATACATACATTGTAGGTTTTATGTAATAAATATTTTAACTAAAATGATTTAGTAATGGTGAAGCAAAGGTAATTACTATTGTTATTATTACTTTAATAATAAGAAAAGAGAGCATATTATTGTATAAGAAATAAACCAATTATTTATAAACGTTTAACAGTTCAGTATGAGGTTCAATAAAATAATAAGCAAAAGTAATAAAAATTGTTGTTAGCCTTATCACATTTTATGTTACAAGCCTTACTAGATCTTAGCAAAAATTAAAAACTTAATTTAATAATTAGAAATTTGAAATATTGACTATTAGCTTCTCATGGGCTGGGATTTTTATTCAAAAATAGTCTTAACGAACCCAACGGAAAATGTGTCTTTAGAATAGAAAAAATTGCACCACACATATTATTATGTCTGTCTGTCATTAAAACTAAGAGAATTTCATTTTAGATAACCCTTCAAGCTCTGGGTACATGAATGTTCCGGAATTATTTACATTCTTTAATCAGCAGTTAAAATAAAAAACAGGGACCCTTACATGGAAGAGTATCTTACGATACCAAGGTTTAATAACGTTTTGCTACCAAATTTGGTTAGTAAGATTATTGCAAACGAATGAATAGGATGAATTTCAAAGTTATGAGAGAAAAAGTACCTATCTAAGAACGAAATCAACAAGGATTATTAAGATGAAATCTGATTTCAATTTTTAACGGTTTATTCAGTTTCCTTTAACTTCCCAGAATAGATATGTATAAATTATCCTAAAGAGTGATAAGATTAATATCTTTGCCGAGAATAAGAAAAATGAAATCTACATAATGTTATTATCAGAATTATTCTCGACACATTACTGGGTAAAGACCACAATGCATGAATAACTTTCATACGCGATGGGTCGTGTCAAAAATACCTGTATTATTTGAGTTTCTATTGTTATGGACTAAAACATTAATTACAAGCGACTTGTATTCTAAATTATTCTTTTCTCGATACTTGTTTTTAGTCGAGCGTAGGTTTTTCGAAGTAAACTTGTTGCTCAATTCTATTCTAAGAAAATCGAAAAGCTACATTATTCGCATGGCGTGTAACGTTAGGTGAATAAATAAAGTACAATATTCAGTTTTCATATTTGAAATACCACGCTGAGTTGTACAAAGTTCATGGATCTCACCATTTCGTAATCAAGGCTCAGAATTTGTATTAGATTAATAGCAACGTTATAAAAGCATGCATTTAT